TTGGTTTGGAGAACAATAGCTGGGTTTGGGGGGGTTTGGAGGCGGGAGGGCTGGGAGGGCAGTGCCTGTCACCCTCTGCCTTCAGCTGAATTGGGGTTTCTTCCACTGAATCAAGTTTTGTACCCCGTAGCGCACTACTTTGCTTTCTTCTCTGGTGTCTATGCCGCTCCACAGAAATAAGGTGCATCTGTTTCATGAGGCTGTCTCGAAGCACAAATTTGTGCATTCAGAGCAATTTAATAATTCATCGTCTGGGCACAAAATTGTTTGCATTGAAAGCAAAAGAAAATGTAACAAATAAATGGGTTTTTGAAGTCTGATCTGTCCTCTCCTAAAAGCAACAGTTACGGGAATACCAAGCCCTTTCTATCTTTCCCCAGATCCATGACTCCAGCCCAAGCAGACCTGGAATTCCTTGAGAATGCAAAAAAGCTATCTATGTATGGAGTCGACCTTCACCAAGCCAAGGTGAGAATCAGCGTATGTGCACCCGCCTGTGGATTTTGTAATTTGATTATCCTTCCCTTGTAGGAGCAAGCTTACCTATTTCAGGAGGCTCCTTTTGAAAGATACAGGAAATCAGCTGGTACAGAAAGAGACACATAACAGAAATGCCTCAAACATTCTTGCAAGAGAAATTATTCTTTCTGATTGCTTATTATTTATATATGACAGGCAGCTTTACAAACCTACTGATGTAGACAGGTCCTTGCTCTGACGAACTTAGAATATGAGGCTCTGACCCTGCAAGGTGAGCCACTCTGCTCAGGGAAGCAGAGGATAGACTCTAGACCAGCCCTTTGAGCAAACAGCGTCGCAGGAGAGAGCAGCAGGAGGGAGGAGGTTGTAAGGAGAGATGGGAAGGAAGAGCGAGCCTGGCCCTGGCTGCGTAGGGAGCTGGAAGCTGAAGTCGGGGCGATGGGGAGATGAGTTCAGGAGAGCCGTGGGGGAAGGCAAAAGGGGTAATTTGGAATGCAGGCGTTGACCTGAAACTTGTAACCCTGATGCTGCATAAATCCTCATCTTGCTTTCCCAGGACTTGGAAGGAGTGGATATCACTCTGGGAGTCTGTTCCAGTGGCCTTCTTGTTTACAAAGATAAACTGAGAATCAACCGCTTCCCTTGGCCCAAAGTGCTGAAGATTTCCTACAAACGCAGCAGCTTCTTTATTAAGATTCGGCCAGGGGAAGTACGTTCTGACTTTGTGCTCGTGTCTTCTTTAATTGCCTTCTGATTATCACCAACACGTACGCTTCACTAAAACAAAGCGGGGGTAGGGAGCAAGCTTTTCTCTGCATGGGCATTTTACACTCTTTGGGTTCTGATCTTGGCTTGGTATAAGTTCGGGTACAGCCCTGACCTTGCTGAAGCTACAAAACAGCAGGTGACAATTTAACGTGTCACCCAGCACCACCTCCTGGCGCTGCGTGGTATTCCCAGCATCCAGAGGAAAGCTGTGGGAAGTTCACAGTTGAAACTTGGGAGAGGACTGAAACCTTTTTTGGAAATGGAGCAAGACAAAAGCTCTTTGTCTAACTTAAAAAAAAAAAAAAAAATACAAAAAATACAGACATATACCTTTTCAGTGCAGAGCAGGCAAGGGGTGGCTGCCCTGATGCTGCCTCTTGTGAACGGGGAGATCCCCGGAGCAGCCTGGCAGCTGGAAACAGTGGGGAGAGAGGCTAACGTGGGAGCCTGCCTCTTCCCTCCTCTCCTTCTTCCTCCTGCTTTGACTGCCATGACCCAGCCTTGCAGGGAAGTCAGTTCTCGACCCCAGCCCGCAGCTGAGCAGTGTGATGGGGGGGTAAATGAGCCCGAATGGCTCCAAAACCCACGGCACGCTCCTCTGTAAGTCCCGGTGTATCCTGAGCGATGCGTGGGGATTGTGGACCCAAACTCCTCCTGCACATCATGGAGTGAGTTCAGCTGCTCTTGGGCTAGACCAGCGGTTTGTGCCGCAGCAGAAACAGGTCCATGGGCTGGGGGCTGGACTCCTGCCACGTTTGTTTCTTGCTATCCCTAAATAACTTCTATTTTCTGCAGCAAGAACAGTATGAAAGTACAATTGGGTTCAAGCTACCAAGTTACCGGGCAGCAAAGAAGCTGTGGAAAGTATGTGTTGAACATCACACGTTTTTCAGGTGGGTTTTCTAAATGGTAGGCTTGTCTTAAGAACTAATGCTTTAGACTAGCTGCTGAAAATGAGCAGTCCTTCAGTGTTCCTTAGGGATTCACAAAAATTGGAGCAAAATGGTTGCAGAGACATTAAGTGTTTATATTGCAATAGATTTTAGGTGGCTTTTGCTTCATGAGATACATAAGACAGAGGTCCTCTAGCTTATGTAGATGTGGGGCTTATTGTTAGTGCATGTTGTTTTGTTAATGAAGTGTATGCAAGAGACTTCTTTAATTTGTATTTTAATTTCTCTTTACCTGCCGCTTCCTAGATCTGGAGGCGTGATTTTAAGTTGTGCGTGTGGTTTTCAGGCTGACTTCCACCGAGGCCATCCCGAAGAGCAGGTTCCTGGCGCTGGGCTCCAAGTTCCGCTACAGCGGCCGGACGCAGGCGCAGACGAGGCAGGCGAGTGCCTTGATCGACCGACCGGCTCCCCAGTTCGAACGGACGGCAAGTAAGCGAGCCTCCAGGAGCCTCGATGGAGGTGAGTGTCCGGTGCCTCTTCCCTCTCCGTGGCTGGATTCAGTAGGATGCTGAAATAACTCCTTAAATACCACCTAAATTCCCTGCTTAAAAAAAAAAAAAAACACCAAAAAAAACCCCCAGAAAAAAGCATAACTTCTCACTTTAATAGAAAACCTGGCTATAAAATGCAAACCGATACTAGTACTAGCAAGAACGGACCGTCAAAAAGGATGTAGGTGGGTGCTGAAGGCTTACAGCAAAGTTCTGCTTTAAAGATATTTCCTCATTCAATCTCAATGCATTTTCCTTCGAGCAAATCGGGAATTAAGCTATTCTAGGATTGGTTTTGTTTAACGTAGCTTCTTAAATTACATAGTTTTCCTTGAGGGGGGAGATGTTTAGCCACACCTGTTTGAAACTTCCTCAGCGTGTGTTAAAGCGACGCTGATGTTGAAGCTTGTGGCGTATCAGTCAGGCGGGCTCGTCCCTGACTTCTTTAAAAAAGCCAGATAGCAGCAAGCTAGAGGAGGTGAGGCATGGAAGGGGGAGTGCCTAAGTTTGCTCCCCTTGATCTGGATCACGGAGTCCTTGTCAAATTAGGATCCAGGGGAAGGGCAGCATCTCTTTGCCCCGAGAGGATCCACGGCAAAGGGGAGCATCCCTTCGCACCAAGGGCAGCTGATGGAGCAGGAACAGCGTTGCTTTGAGCCCCGAGGTCGTGCCGCTACCCGGGAGGGAACAGGGTTGCCCCAGCACCCGGTCAGCAGCAGCGGCCAGGCTGCCCCTGCTCCTGGCATGAGTTTACAGGGCTCAGTGACACCCCAAGCCTGGCCTTCATGCCTCGGAGCCGGGAGGGAGAGGGCTGCTTGGTTTGAGCTCCGTACCACAGCCCTGATGTGGTGAGCAAAGCAAAATGCCTGCTTGCCCGCAATCCAGGTGTGCGGTGCTCCCCAGGCACGACGCACGGAGGCGAGGGGACCAGCGCTGTTGGTTGCCCCTTGGCCGTGCCCTGTAGACCATTACAACCTGAGATGAGTAGAGGAATCCCCGCTGCGGTCCCGCACCCGAATGTCAGAGCTTGGAAAAGAGCAGCCTGTGAATGTAACGCTTCTGTCCCCGTTGAAGTCTGCAGCCTCTTTCCATCTGCTGTGTGGGCAGTTGTTAACATGTGCCCCGTTTCTTCAGCTAAACGTGCGACTCAAAAAGTTGAGTTCAGAGCCATAGAGGAAGAGAAGCAGGAGAAGGTGGTGGTGGTTGAGGTTCCTGAACCAAAACCCGCGGATCAGATCCGAGAGAAGCCAGGTATAGCTGTGGTGGTGGCTACAACTCTTCTGCAGTGCCTTTCCTATCCTTTACATGCTTGTTCCTGACAAAGTTTCACCAAATCTGGCGGCTTTCTTTTTCGTTTCTTTGCAAGAAGAGTTTCACAGTGAGAGGTCAGACAGCCCGGTGGAGCCCCAGCTCTGGGAGACTTACAGAATTTCCACCCTGCGCCTCATTAGACTGTAATTCTTGTGGGGAGGTGGGGAAGAGTTTAGGGTGTGCTGGCACTTGAGAACTGTCTCCTTATTAAATTTGGGTGTTTTTGTAAATGTGGATTAGAAAACTTTAAAGTTTGATCTTGAAACTTCTTGTAAAGCTTCCGAAATTCTTAATCCCAGGACCTGCCTGCCATTTTTAAAGCCTGTTCTGGGGCTTTTTGGTGGTTTGAGAAATGCCGCCCCTTTTGCTACATGGAGCTTGTATTTCTCTTAAGATAGGTACTCTTAGTAAATATTAATGCCCTTAAGAGGTGTGTAGGTACAACAGTGTATTTGAATGCTAATAAGCATATCACAGGAGTGGTGGTGTCAATTATTTGCAGTCTTTGTCACTTAATGCACCACAGGCATTTGCTATTTAGGGCTGGAGATAATTCGTACGCAAATGCGTTGTGTATGTCTCCACTTCCCTTCTTCCACCCTGATTTTTTTTTTTTTTTTTTTACAGCATGCTTTTGACATCACTGTTTTTCTGGTATGAAATCTAGACCAAGCTTTCATAAAGTCATGTGGCAGACTGTCTCCCCACCACCATCTTGCCTTAAATTCTCACTAGTCAGCATCGCCTGGCAGGGAGAGCCTGATGCTGTAAAAACAGAAGGTGGAGAATTAGCATTTAAGATACCAGGATAGATGGCTGTATGTTCTTAATTTTTAGATTTGAAGTTGATCACTCAAGTACATTTAATGAAAGCTGCTAGTTTTTGTATGGTTTTTTATCTAGAGGAGCCTGGGTGTGTTTTTCCTGGATTTTACCAGCCAGCACCTGCATCTCCCCAGACTTTGCAGGCAGAGCCCGACCTGATACCACACCAGAGAGCTGTTTGCGTGTCCCCACATATCCCTGCCTGGGCAAGAAGCCTGCAAAGCTTATTTGTGTTCTTTTTTTCCCCCTCTCATCCAATACACCGTTGGGCCTGGCAGCACTAGAAAGACCGATATGCGATTGCACGGTGGAAAATTATTATTGAGCTGCCTGGTTTTAAAACCTCCTTGCTGTTCTCAGCCGCGACCGTTGTGTGTCCACGCGGTTCTCCAGCTGCTCCATTAACGCGTGCCAACCTCTTTCCAGCCACACACGTTCTTGAGACTTTTGAAATGAAACCCATTGCAGAGGAGGAAGAGGAGGAGAAGGTAGAGGTGGTTAAGGTTCCCGTTCCCAAGCCAAAATTACCGGAGCCGTTGCAGACGCGGTCAGGTACAGCCGCAGCGGCGTTTGCCGTCGGCGTGTGTGACCTGCTGGGTTGAAGTGATGCAGTGCTGTAGGACAGAGGTTGCATCGTTTGCAGTGGTGTCCATTGCCGTTAAAATCACACCCGGCTTTGCAAGTGTGCTGTAAATACACGAGCGCTGCTTTATCGGGGTGTGCCTCTGGGTGAGATGAGGAGGTGCCGTGCCGTGGCTTGGCTGTGTGCCTGCGTGTTGAAATGAGTGTGCAGTGGCCTCTTAACACTCCTCTGTTGCTGTCCCTTCTTGTAAAGTTCATTCCCCTGAGCTGTAGGAACGTGCGGTGCCTGGAAACGGGGTTGTGTGCTCCAGGAGTACTGGGGGTCACCTACGCTCTGCTTTATTTCTTCCCCATAGAGCCTGCTTCTTCCCTAGGTGGGGAGGGGTTTCAGAGCAACTTCACTGCTGCAGACAGACCCACCCTAATCATAATTAAACGCAGAGTTGATTAGTCATTGCAGGAAGAGGAGACCGAAGCCTTGGAGGGAGGTAACTAGGAACTTCACCTGTTTTCTTGATTATTGTGAAAAACACTAAGCCAGCCCCTGTGCTTGGGCTCGAGGATGTTCCGTGGGACGGGCTGCGGCAGAGCGGACATCAGCCAGTATCAGAGCCGAGCACATCCCAGGGTCTCCTGCTGCCGCTGCCCCTTCTCATTCACCTCCTGTACTTTTTCCTCCTCTTGGCACTCTTGTTCCCGGTAGGGACTGGTTTTTTGGCCGGGGTGATGGTGAGTGATATTTTACATCTTTTATTTTGGAGCAGTGCTTTTTACTGCCTTCAAATAGTCATGTGTCAAAATAGCCAAAGATCAAAAAAATGTAGCTAAAATAATGCGGTTCTGGACAGCACAGAATGCATCGTTGAACGTCAAAGGAAAAACTTGGTATCTGTTATTATTTTTCCTGTGTGTCTCTACGCTCTGAAGCGCTGTGCGAGAAGCAGGACTCCCTAAAAGAGAGGTGGCCATGGGGATTTACTTTGCTACTTCATCTTTGAGGTGGCATTTTAACACGTCCATAACTTTTTTTAGCCAAACCTGCTCTTGGCAATGTTGAGATAAGCCCAGTTGAAGAGGAGGAAGAAAAAATAGTGGTGATGAGAGAACTAGAGCCAGTCCCAAAGGAGTCAGGTACCACCGCGATGGCTTTGCACACCCGTCATCCTCCTAATCCTGACTGTCCCTGCCATCTCACCATCCCTCTGTACAACCTCTCCGGTGGCCGTCACAGCTTCCGTGTCATAAGTAACACCGGGACGTGGCACCGGTTGTCCTTCCGAAAGGATAACACAACGTCTGGCTCACAGAAATGAACTGCTGTGCTGAAGAATGGGGAGGATAACAGAGTGGTTTGGGGTTTTAGGGTGGATTTTCAGGAAGACATGGTGTCCAGGAGTTTGTCTTAAAAGTATAATTTCAGTCTCTGAAAAATCAGGTTCTTTTTTCCCCCGCCCCCATCTTCTATGCTCTTGGCCACATGGATACTTTGTTCTGTACATGTTTTCTGCACACAGATGAGTTATCTTTTCAGTGAAACAAGAATTCTTACTAAGGAGTTACTTAGAATTATAATTTCTTTTTTAACGCCAAATTTTCTGATGTCTTTGGCTAGCTGGATGGACTCTAGTAACCTAACGTTGGCTGGGGTAAGTTACATAGTGTGACCCTTGCTGCATAAACTGTGACTTTAGGAATATGAGACCACGTCAGAGAAATTATTTTGGGTGACTAGGTATATTTTTAGTGGAACGGCCATAAAAGCCAACATTGGAGAACTAAATAGCTTATTGCATCCATAGGTACGCACAGCGAGTTAATTGGGGCTTGCTTTGTCACAGAGCTTTAGCTTGAATGTTTCGGAGGTGTTGGGCTTTTCAGGGATCAGAAACTGTCTGGGAAATCGGGAATCGAAGGAAAGGAGTAGGCAGTTGATTTTGTGTGTACCTAGTGCTTGTACTGAAGACTGTCATCCTCTGGAAAGACGATTTTTTTGGCAGCATGCTATTCATTTCTGCACTGTCACTGATGTGGAGATCCTGGGTATCTTCTTGCAGTGGTGCCTTGGGCTGCAGCAGGAGATACCCACCTTGGACACGCAGCCCCAGCCTGCTTTGAAACCCACCTGGAAGTTGCTGTAAAGTTTTATAGAGCAAATGCTTGTTGATTATTTTTTTGTCTTAATTGCTGAAAAGACTGGGGAGATGGGGAAGCCTGTGTTGCCCTTCCAGAAACCATCTGTTTCTGGTTGAGGAGATGCCAATGAGTCAAGAATTCGCCTCAGCTCTAAGTGTTTCTATTTTAAAAGCTGCATTAGGATGGACTTTCTGTGTCTGTTGTGTGTGAAGGACCAAGAAGTTGATGGCACAGTGTCAAAAATAGACTCACCTTTCTGGTGTGGCTTCTCTGCAGAGTGCAAGCTTGCTTTTTGTAAACCATCTGTTGTGGGGTTTTATTTTATTTTATTTAAACCATAAGGAAAATAATCTCAACTTTCCCATACTAAATGCACAAGCTTCTTTGCTCAACATCTTTATTTCTTTTCCCTTTTTTTCCTCCTCCTCCCTTTCTTTTTAAACGACAGCACTGTAATTTGGAAAGACTTTGCCTGGAGCTTTAGAAACGATACCCACTCTGAGCCCCGTCTCTGTCTGTCTCTCCCCCATCCCCAGCAGTGGCCGTGATAACCCCCGAGAGGAGTCCCCGTCCCACCTCTGCCCCGGCCATCGCTCAGAGCCACGCTGCAGAACCAGTCCCAGCTAAGCCCGATGCGAAGGACGTGGTCGCTGCCTCTAAAGTAGAAAAAGAAGCAGCAAAACCTGATGCGAGACGTGAAGAAATCCCACCGGAGAAAGCCAAGCCGGAGCCAGCCGATGCATCAAAGGTGTGTTAGACCAGAGCCTCTTCGGAAGAGGCTGCGCTTGTGCCGGGCTGGAGCATCGGCTCGGGAAACCGTGCTGGAGCAGCAGCTCTGTGCCCCTTCCCATCCCTTGCCCAAGCATCGGGTAGGCCTGAGGAATGGGGATCTGGGTCCAACCCAACCCTGACCAAGGAGGGAGGAGGTCCAGGGTGGATGGGTTTTGGTGGTTACAGCCAAGCTAAATGCAACTTGCTGGTTAAAAAAGCTGGCAAGAACTGCACACGAGTTCATGGTACTTGAATTTAGGGCTCACCCATGGCTGGGCTCTCTCTGCTGATTCCTGGTACGAGAGCGGGAGCAATTCCCGTGAAACTGGTGATAGGGATCTGCTCTGCAGCCCAGCGTCTGAATGCAAATGTTTTTTACGTTGATAGGCTTTCTCTGGGAGAGCTGTTAATACATTTCTGCAAACTGGACTAAAACTCCAGTTGTGAATGGCACTGTAGAGACCCTGGGGGGTTGATTGTTTAAATTAAATTCTTTTAAACGTTATTTGATCTTTCTACAAATGTCTGAGACCTCTGCTGGTGTTGATATATGTGTATTTTTCTCGTGAAAGTAATGTGCGAAATTATTGTTCGTATTACAGTGCCCTTAATATTCTGCAAATCTTATTGACTGAAATGTTCCCATGTTGCAGCAGAGGTATATGCCTTGAGATACAATTTTCACATTACTACGAATATTTAGCTGTTCTCAGCATTACTGAGAGCCACGTTTTTGCTGTAACATATCATGCAGTGGGTCTTGTATGACTTACTCCTGGGGAGATAACTATTAATTAAGGCTGGGAGATGAAGGTGAAGAAAGGACAGTTGCTTTAAAAGATTTTGTGGCCTCTGTGACCTGTAATTTTTAAATGAAAATGCTGAAGACGTCTTCAGGATGGCACTTCGGAGTGTGCGTTGTGGCACATAGTTCCTGTAACGCTGTTCCTGCACAGCAGCTCACCCTCCTTAGCATTAAACTGAGAACAAGTAAATTTTATTTATCCCATCTCACTTATTACAGGGTTTTTTTCCCTAAATGCTTAAACACTGGAGTTTTTTTTTTTCTTTAAATGTAGATGTGAGAAGACATTGTGGATTTGAACGTGCCCAATTTTACCCTGTTTCTCAAATGTAGCTGCATCACTTCTTTTAACACCCACCGATGTTTTCGCCTTCAGAGTATTTGGCAATGCAGTTTCCCTAAAATACTTCCCTTAAAGTGTTAAGACAATCTTGGCTCTCTACTTATGGACAGTAAAGAACTTAATTTGTGATATTAGGCTTGATTTTGTAGCTAGGTCTCTTCTTACTGACTCTGTGAACCTAATACCTGCACGTAACAAATAATTCTCTGTTTTTGAGAAGGTCCATGTTAATTTGAGTGTGTTGCTTTTGGTAAGGATTTCACTGGGAGATCCAGCTGCAAATGAAATTTGAAAACGTTGCCTGGCAAAGCTAATGCAAGTGGGAAGCCCTTCTTCAGAAACACTAGAGAGCTCTGGTCTCAAATGCAAATAATTCTCAAGCTGAAGGAATTATTGTAAATGTGCTGTGAACTAACAGACTGTCAGAGAGCTGCGGTGTCATTAACTCTTTCCGGAGGACTGCATGTTGGTTTTTGCATGTTCGCCCAGTATTTCAAAACCAACTTTATGCAGCTGTGTTTTGAAACTAAATGGTCTCTTGAAACAAGTCTACTAACAAAAAATGTTTTTACCAATTTATTTCTTAAATGTAGGTGAGGAAAACGCACATTGAGGTCACAGTACCCACCACGAATGGTGACCAGCCCCAGGTTTGTGCTAATAATTCAGTTAGGTTGCTCACAGTTGGGTTTTTTTTTTTTTTAAGGTTAAACAGTGAGGTTCAACATAGTTAAATGAACCAACAACTTTTTTTTTTTATCACTGCCTAACAGCAGCAGCCTGCAGAAAAAGAGGAAGAACTGATAAGAATGAGGAAGGTTAGCCATTTTACACTTTCACCAAACAAATTTAGCCATATCATTCATGCATCTGTAACCTGTTTAAAAAGACAGTGCTCCAGTTTCTCCGTGTGCATTGGGTTGGGTTTTTAGGTTTTTTTTAAACTGCAACTATCAAATATTTGATTTTAAATTTAATAGCTTTTTGTCCCGCAAGTCTGATTGCTAAAATTATGCATGTTGAATGTTCGAGAAAAACACACTTGGTTTGATTTATAAAATTTATCTGCTTTTCTGTAGCAAACTTAGTTAGAAACCAAAGAAAACTGTACGGTGTGCATTCCAGGAAATGCGAAAAAAAAAAAAAAAAAAAAAGAGGTATAATGCTTTTTTTGTATTAAGTAATAGGGGACATATCCAAGATGGGAAAAGCGGTTAAGACCTAGTTACTGTGCACATTGAGGCCTCGTAAAAGTTACGCCAGGCAGCACGGCCTCGTACACCGGGGTGGGCGTGCATCAGTGCCAGGAATCTGAAGTTGTGACTTCATGCAAGGCTTCCGCAGAAAACCGGTAAACTGTCTCTTTGTGGCGAGCGATGTAAACCAAGGCAGAAGCCGATGACCCCGGGAGCTGTCTCTTTAAAGGACTCATTGCATCTCCCCATTCTCCATGAGCAAGAACTCCCATTTCCCGGTGGTGGCCCCGCGCCGGCTCCCTGCGGCTGGGTCCCCACCCCACGCTGGCACAGCGCTGCACTCCCAACGTTGAGTTGACTTTTTTAATTTGCCAATTTGTCGATCCCGCAAGAACAACATTTTAATTTTTTGTGCTTTTTTTTTTTGTTTTTTTTGTTTCCCCCTTTTCTTTCATTTTCACAGAAAAGATCAAAGAGGCTAGATGGTGAAAACATTTATATCAGGCATAGCAATTTAATGTTGGAGGTTTGTATGAACTTGAAGCTTTTTTCAGTTGCGTTTGCCTAGACCTTCTGCATCTGCGCTGAACTTTTTTCTTCCTCTTCTGCTGCTGCCTTTGTTTTTGCATGCTGTTGCATGAAAGACTTTTTTTTAAATACGCTTTTGCATGGTGACAGTAAACATGACAACGTGCAGGCATTCTTCCTTCTACCTCTTCTGACTTTCATTCTCTCATACTTACGCAAAATATATGATTGGCAGAGCTGCGTGCTCGGGTCTGCTCTTGGACCTGCTGGCCTCTCACGGCGGTGTGAATCGGGGCGGCGGGGCTCATTTCCAAGTTTCTCCTTGCTTGAAATAAATTCTTTCCCTGAGGGAAAAGACGGGCTATGAAAATGCGAAAACCAGGATAAGCTGCAGGTGAAATTGTCACCTCCGTGGTGTTGAGGCCACCGTGATGCTCACGTTGCTTCAGACAGGAGCGAGTCCTCCTTTCGGACGTTGCTGCTGGTGTCGCAGCGATGCTTGCGGTGTTGCAATCCCCCTCCCAACGCTCGCTTGCCCTTGCAGCGTCTTTAACGCTCCCCCGGGCCCCATCCTGCATCGGCGCCAGGTCCCCTTGGAGCTGACGTCGGGGCTCGATGGTCGTGGGTGGCTCACAGGCGGGCGAGAAGCCGTTTCATCCCTCTGCAGACAGCTCTTCCCTTCGGCTTTGGGAGCGTTTGACACTTGGTTTCGCCTAAGCACGGTCTCAGAGCAGACCATGCCAATCATATATTTTATTTTTTTTAATACACTGTGTTATGGAAGACGTTTTGTGGCTTCTGATACTCTGTGTTATGTGTTTCTACTCAAACTTGCAGCACCAGCAGCTGGTAGGGTTTCCCTGTTGGTATCTCTTGCAAGTGAAGTGTACTAACTGCCTTCTCCTAATCTCAATTTTGTTAAGTTTTGCAGCTTTTGGGTGGTTTGGTTTTTTTAATTTTTTTTTTTTTTTTTTTTTGACTGCTACAACGTAAGCTTTCGGTCACGAGCGAAGGGTCTGTGGCACGACGGGCAGGGTTCAGCCGCCACGGGAGCGCTGCGAAGACTGTGCCTGCCGCTTTCTTTTGCCCAACTCGAGCATCTCCATCTTCCCAACCCCAAACAGAGCTTTTTCATCGCTTCTCAACCCCGTTTTCCTGTTAGTGCAATATTTGGCTCTGGCATCCAGCCCCTTCTCCAGCCCATTCCCTCTCCACTGCCCTTTCCCACCGGTTCTGTTGCAGGTGCTCCAGCCCTCCCCTAGAAAAGGGCTGACCCCAGCAGCTTACCCCCTTTACTCCTTTTTTTTTTTTCTTTTTTTAATCCATGCATTTGGCAGATCAGATGTTTTTCCAGCAGACCTCACAGTCCCGAAGCTGCCGCTTGATTTTATTGAAAGCCGTTTAACGCTCCGTGCTCGATAACCCACGCTTCGTGTTCGTAGAAAAAGGGCAAAACAGGAGGAGAAGTGTCAACGCTTAGCGAGCTTGTTCCTCCAGATGCTTTCAAGACCCGTTGTGGCTCCACGTAGCTCCTCGTGGCTTTAGCTTCTCTGCAAACCCTCCCAGGACCAGCTCTTGCGCACTGGTGGATAGCCAAGGTGGTCTTTCTCTCTTCTCTAAACCAGGAGCAGCTGTAGGGCTCCTGGACCCGGGCAGGGCTTTACCCCGGAGTCCTCAGCAGACTTATTTGTGCTTTTTTTTTTTTTTTCCCCTAACTAGCAGGCACTTGCCTTGGGCTTTCATCCAGGACCAATGCAAAACTGATTTTTTTCCCCCAGAACTGTGCCAAAAAGAGCAAATGTTGTTAATGAGGCATTTGGGGCTAGAGCCCTGCGGAGGGAGGGTGGTGTGTCCTGGGTAAGCTGCAAGGACGCAGATATTTGGCCGGGGTGCCCTCCTTTAGGGATGCATTTGCTCTCCCGTCTTCTAAAATTGATGGGCCAAGTACCAACTAAAAGCACAAAAATAGTGACGTTTCCCAGTGATGCTTCTACTGACCTTAATTTCCCCCTTTCTAACTGGTGAGGCTTGCTGCCCCGTGGCATTCCAGAAAAGTTGTTGTTTGGCTTATGCCTATTTTTATGCAAAAGCTTTATTTTCAACACACTCTGGTTTGCTTGCAAGGAAAAGCTATTTTAAAAGAAGTTGAAGAGAGCTGACTTGCCTTGAAGTCTGTGCATTTATGCTGTAAACTGGCGTCACAGAGTAGAAATCTGGCTTTTTCCAGATGAAGTATTTCAGCCGGA